GCTCAGCCTGGGGCAGCCGCGGCGCTGCAGGGATGGAGGAAAGCGCCGGCCGCGCGGGGAGACGCGCGGGGACGCAGGCGCAGAGCAGGACCCCTGGGAAGGTGCTGGCCCGGGAAGCACCATTGCCGGGAGTCAAGGAAGCCGAGAGCAGGCAGGAGGCAGAGGGGAGGGTGAAACTGCCAGCTGGCCCCGGCCCAGGCAACTCTCTTGGGCTTTCAAAAGCAAATGTCTCTGGAAGGGCTCCCAAAGCCGGGAGAGGTTCCCTGGGAGCAGGTTCACGGGGGCAATAAGGGCCAGGAGCACTCCCAGGGCCCCGCAAGCACCCGACCGTCCCGTTCCTGCCCGCCAGTCGCGCCAGAGAGAAACAAAACGCGGCCGTGCAGCGCACCGGGGAGCTCAGCATTCCCGGGCACGGCGGGAAGGAGCAGCCTGGAAGCCAAGTGCGGGCCAAGCACGGAAAGGGGAGCCGGGGCGGGAGCGCCGCGCACTCACCGACGTGTTCTGGCACTGGATGCTGGTGCTGTTGAAGCGCAGGGCCGTGACGCGCGTGGTGCCGCCGGGGATGTGGAAGATGCACTCGTAGTTGCGCTGGCCGGACTGCGGCTGCGGCAGGTTCTTGGCCGTCAGCGTGATGGGCTTCACCACCCCCACGGGGATGTAGATCTGCGTGGAGGGCAGGATCTGCGGGCAGTCCTGTGGGGAGAAGAGCGGGCAAGGGTGAAACAGGGAGACACCAAAACCCCCCCGCAGCTGGGGAAAGACCACAGCAAACAGCACTGAGCACACTCGAGTAAAGCCCGTGCGCAGCCAAGGCAGAGCTTCCCAGCTGCTCTGATCCATGGCCCGAGCACAGAAGAAGGGTCCGAAGAGGAATGAGCCTTCAGGGCCCTGTGGTGTCAATCCAGGGAGCTCCGGGTGCAGGACCTGTACAGGGTGTACATCTATGGATCCATACCTTGAACCTGTGACAGCAGCACGTGAGCTGCAGGCTGGTGTGAAATGACCGTTACGAGAGGACCTTTAATGAGGGCACTGCTGTCATTAGGTTTCAGAGTTAATATCTACTGGGATGAGCACTGTCGGTACCACCTCAGACCTGTTTCCTCCACGGCCTCCATCTCCCCTAGCTCATGAGCAGATAGAAAAGCCTTTCTCCGAGAGCTCTGCCAAGCCCTGACTCGGCAGCTCTCCGGAACGCCCCATCCCGAAAGCCCTCAGTGCCAACCCCATTCCAACAGGCACCGCCTGCAGGGACGGCAGCCCTGCCTGTCCCCAGGTCCTGCGGGGCGAGCACAGGGCTGGCCCCGGCTCTCCCAGCACGGCTGGCCTGGAACAGCTCAGTCCCTGCGGAAGGGGGAGCGGAGGCTCCCGCTCCGGGATCCGCTTCCCACCGAGGGGAGTGGGGTGGCAGGGACACGGGAATGCTGCGGAGTCCAGGCCCGCCCGGGAAGCGGCTGGGGAGGCCAGAGCCGCCACCACTGCTGTTCGCGCCGCTCTCGAGGCAGCCTCGCGCGCAGAGCACACACAGGCAGCACCAAAACACTCCGGGGAGCAGCAGGGAGCAAAAATAAATAAGCTCGGGCAGAAAAACAGCCCCGAAGCCCCAGGGATGCCACCTGGGCGGCAGCAGCCTGATGCAATCCCCGGGCAGCCTCGCGGGGCCCGGCGGAGGCCTCGCGCCTGGGGCGGCTGCGGCTCCGGGAGGCGCCGGCCGCAAACCCGGGCACGGGGGAACGGGGGGTTTGGGGCCGGGCTGAGGACAGAATCGGCCACGCGGGGCCAGGGCAGGCCGGGAAGGGCTCTCCCCTCTGGAATGTTGGACGGCTCGAACGATTACGCGGAGCTTCCAGTTTTCTCTGGAAAAAACAAACAAATAAACAAACCCGGCCCTGCTCCTCCCTGCTAGACCTTGTCCCAGGCTGGCCAAAATGCCTCCCTGCCCTTGCAAAACCCTCGCTTTGTCTGGGCAGCATTTAACTGAGGAGGGGGGGAAAAGGGAAAAAGGATAAGTTTCATCTAGCAAATACTGACATAAAAAGTTTCATTTAGCAAATACTGACATAAAACCCCAACTGTTTCTAAGTCTTGAATTTCCTCATCTTCTCAGCCTCTATTCCCAAAAAGTGCTCTTTCCTTTTTTCAAAGGAAATAAAACTATCTGTCCCCAAAATGTACCAAACCAACGGAAAGCAGAAAGGAGCGGCAGCAGTGGCACCGTGCAGGCGGGGACAGCGAAGGGACAGCGAGGGGACCCATCGGGAGCCACCTCGCGCTGCGTCCCGCCTGCGGGCCCGTTTTGCTGAGTAGCTGTTTGAGCTGGAGCCGAGTCCTCCCGCTACGTCACACGCTCTGCATCTGCTGGCAGGAGTGTCTCATCCAGCAAAAATTCCAGCCGGCTCCAAAACAGGAAGCACCTGGTGCTCGCGGGGCTCCCTGGGTCCCCGCGCTCCCCGCCGCCGGCCCGGCCCGGCCTCCCGCTCCCTCACAGCGGAGGGGAAGGAGCATTTCGACGGTTCATCCCCCTATATCAATGCCAAAGCAGACAAACCCCGCGCAGGCACCCGCAGCTCAGAGCTAAACTCTCTTGGAAACGCTCCGCGCAGCCCACGAATCTCCTCGATCCCTCAGGAAACGCTGACCTGGCTCTCGGGAGCGGGAAGCCATAAAGGGACAGGATGAACGCAAAATTAAGAATCGCCTCCACCCTTCCAAACCTGGGAAAATCTCAGGCTTTCTCCCAACAAAACTGCATTTTTAACTGGATATAAAGATGTTTCCAAGGGTGCCTAAATTTGCTTTGCGTTAGAGGCTCAGGGCCATGATGTAACTGCAGCGGGTTTCTCTCCCCGCGGCTCCCAGCTGCATCGTGCAGGGACGGGGCTGGCGCGGGGCTCGCTGGGGTCAGGAGTCACCTGAGGGCAGGACGTGGGTGACTGCCCCGCTCCTCCGCTCCCTCTGGCCGCTGCTTCCCCCGTCCCAGCCCCTCACGTGTCCCCTCCGTCCCCACGGCCACATCCTTGGACGTGTTTTTCTGCTCAACCCTGCCAGGCGCCAGCGCTTCACCCTCCTTTGTGGGCAAACACAGGGATCATCCCAGGGGAGCAGCGCTTTGGTGAAGGGGAATTCGGCTTCAATTAGCGCGCAGATCCTCCAGCACTCCTAGGAACCGCGGCGGGGATGTGGGAAGAGCAGCACGGACAGTGACTGTGCTCCCTGCATCATCCCAGCCCCACGTTCCACCCCAGAGAAAGCCGCAGAAGACAAATATCTCCAGGCATCCAAAATAACCCAAGGCTCCCAACGCAGGGGTTTGGAGCCCCAGCAGTGGCAGGCAGGGACATCCTTCCTGCTGCCGCGTTCCCAGGCTCTGAACAGAGCAGCGGTTCCCGGCCACGGCCAGTCCTGCTCCTTCCATCCCGCAGAGCAGACCTGGGGAGGAAAGACACTGCTGCAGAGCCGGGTTATCCATGCGCTTCCATGCTCGTGTTCCCGGCATGCCCAGGGCGGAGGGCTCGGGTGGCTGTTTGTGTTTTCCTGCACAACATCCACTTTTCCACCTTCAGAGGGAACTGAAAGACTCTGCCTGCATTGCAGGTGGCCAGGGGGAACCAGCAGATACGGAGTTAAGAATTGGTAAGGAAATCAAGAGACTTCCATGCCTTTTCCGACCAGCGACCACCACACTCCAGCCAAGCAAACAGCAGACAGACCAAGTCCTGCTCAAAATAACTGCCAGGGTTAGACACCCTCCCACAGACAGGATCGGGCTGAACGTCTGCCATTCATGTGCCCAGCGGTGCCACGCTCTGGCACCGAGGAGCCCTCCGCAGTCCCTGGGGACACTGCAGACACAGCCCACAGCAGCGGCGGCTCCGAGGGCATCGCGTCCCTCCTGCCAGGAACTGCTGGGGCCGCAGAACAGCAAAAACCACACGAGCCGGTTCCCAAACCTCGGGCCAGGCGCCGCTCCAAGCCGCAGGGTGACCGGAAGGTCTGTGGGGGGACAGCGGGAGCGACACGAGTTCACGAGGCCTCCGGGAAAGGTGCGGGCGCCTCCAGGCCAGCAAGGACGAGCAGCGGCCTCGGGGCGGCCCTGGGGACGGCGCGGCAGGACCCTCAACCAGGGCCACTC